CCGCCCTACCGGAGGACTTCCCTGAGGCCAAGGGGACCAGGGATAGGTTGGGCGGTGGGTGTTGGGGAGTTTTTGTTGGAGTCAATGAACAGCCCGCTGAGCCAAGCGCAGTGGAGCATGTCTGGGCTCAGAACAAGCGTTCCTACAAATTGCTGAAGAACCCCCCCCAAAAAATGAAAATATTCTTCCTTATCAAGGGGAATATCATATAGTTTTTTTTTTAAAGGGAAGGCGGTGGGATCTTTGGGCTAGGTCGTTTAGGGTATATGGGGGTTGCGTAGGAAAAGAAGGCTTTCTTCGAGTCTCACGCCCCATTGCCCACTCACCTGTGCATGTCTTGTCAACCTTTGGCTTCCCAGATGATGAGATTTGCTTCCAAGCGAAGCCCTCGGCCCTCAACCCATCCTAACCCCTACTTTTCCCGGTAGGAAAGCTCCAGGGCATCATGAAATCCCCCCGAAACCCCGCAAACAAAACTCCCCAAACCCTAAACCCTAAAATCTTGAGAATGTGAGGGGCAACCGGATAACCTGCTGGACTGTTTAGGGGTGGGTCTTAGCTTCCTGTGGTTTGTCCTTGTCGACGTGGTTGGGGGGGGGGGGGGGGCGTTTTAGCTCTCCCAGGTTTGTCTTGTTCAATGCAGGTAATAAAGGGATGTCCCTCGCATGATTGGTTTCACAGTGTGAAGTCATACCGATGTGGTCGTCGAGGCTTGTATATTTTTCTTATCTTATGCGAGCCATTTCTTGGGGCCCGACTGATCACTTGGTCTGAGCTTGACATGATATAGAGGGGTAGTACAGTTTGACGAACGGACCCACGGACCTTGCCTGCCTTGTGCGAGAGTGAGCGACTAAACCCTAAACTCGAAATCCTAAATCCTAAATCTGCCCAAAACACCCCTCCCCCCCAAACAAAACCCCCATTCACGCGGGAGCAACTGTGAGGATGGGCCCTTCTCGGTCAGAATGAGCGGAATCGATAAGACGGCCACCGATGAGGTGCGGAGCGGTAACTTGGGTTTAGGGCTCCGGGTACCATAAGGTTCATAGGGTTTTGGGTCGAAAAGGGTTTAGGGTTTAGTGTTTAGGGTTTTATAGGGTTTCGGGTGAAAAAAGGGTTTACGGTTTTGGGTTTAGTGTTATATGGTTGCAGGGTTGTAGGGTTTCGGGCTCCAGATGCAGGGTATCATAAGGTACCTGTTGGTTGATCCGTCGCCATTGCCGTTGAAGTGATAAGTGCAGTGCAGTACCGTGCAGTGCGACCTCCGAGTTGAAGTGCTTGCTGCCGAGGCGAGAAATTGACAGCCTTTCACCTTCGTAGGCCTTCGTGCTGCATGGTGCTTGCCGTTGTGTCAGGACATCGAGAAATACTTCGTGGAACGTTCCGAGCTCAGCGCTGGTCTGGATGTACATTTCTCTGAAGGGAGTACATTATGCGACGTGAGTTTTCGGGATGTCGCTGTAGGAAGTGCTTGTGGCTGTAGTCCATGTGCAGAAGTCTGCCCATGATTCGTCTCGAATGACTAAACTGAAGGTGGCCATCCTTGGTCACCAAACCCTTTGCGCCCCAAAAAGCTATCAAGATTATCGCGGGGGGGGGGGGGGGGGGGGGCGTCGAAAGATGCCCTAGCCCATGCAGCAAGTTCTACGGTTTCTTTTGCTTTTGCACTTTGGTATGGCCGACGCGGTACAGGATTTTGGCAGCTGTGTGTCCAGGCGACGTGAAGGTCAAATCCGTGGAGCAGTTTGATGTTCCGCGGCATACAGCTCGCATCGACTTCCACGACAAGGCTCGAGAATGGTTGAGAATCATATGGGCAAGTTCCCACAGAGAGCTCTTGTCAGATGCCTTGCTTAAACCCCGTTAACCAACGTGAGGCCTCGCTGGAGGTTGCCCGGATCTCGGAAGCAAGCAAACGTCCAGAGCTTTGTGACATGGGCCCCAAGAGGACGGTGGCTAGTGTTTTAGGGCTTTGCAGTCAATCCAAGCTGACTAGTCAGAAGGTAGCCCCAGCTAAGCAACCCCAGAAGCTGTCACCACCGACCCAGCACCGCCGAAGCCCCGAACCACATGCAGGAGTATTGAGCGTCGAAACAAGGTTATGCTGACAGCCCTTGAGGGAAGCAGAAGCACAGCCCTTTTTTTGTTGCTCAGACTCCGCTAGTTTAAAAGAACAGAAACCACCCGAAGCCAACAAGCGGAACTGCCAAAAGTCTGGGGTGCCGACCAGGAACGCAGTCCGAAAACCCCAAGCCTCAACGAAGTTTGTATGAGGGCTGTTGCACAACATTGTGTGCCAGGTGTGACAAAGAGCCAGCAATGCAAAGAGACCAACATCTCCCACAGAGAGCTCTTGTCAGATGCCTTGCTTAAACCCCGTTATGTCCTGTCGTAGCTGAGGCCATTCAGCTTAGCGGCTGGCGCCTCGTGGGTGTGTGGTTCCAGGGGGGGGCCGTGAATGTCGGAACTAGTTGCCGCTCAACCTCACCACCCCATGTGCTTCGTTTGTGCTGATGAAGTTCACGAAACACCGAGTGTTTGCATTCGAGGCCCAGCAAATTGCAGCCATGAAGACTTGCAACCTGTATGTCAGGAGCGGCTATCAAATGCCAACGTCCAAGGGGTAGGAGTCGAAGTACAAAAGACCCCTCGTTGAGTCGTCAATCACTTTTATCAAAAGAGTTTGTGAGCAACAGCTTCGGGCGCCAAAGAACACACCTTAGCCCCTTAGCCGCGTCCAGGCCACAACCTTCTCCGGCGGAAGGTGAAGGTGGAGTTGTGGACCGAAGCGGACATGGGCTTCCCGGCAGAATCGGACGGTTCTGCCGCTTATGTTAAACGAACATCTCATCACCCCGTCTCCTTGTAAACCTGTCCAGCACACGCTCTCTCTTGAGAGCATAGCCCCTGGAATTGAGCTACAGGCACAAGCACCGTGATGGGCGCGAAACCGCTGAAGCCGCATCTCGGCCAATGATCACCACGAGTCGAGCCTGCCATGAAGAAACCCCGGGCTTGGTGTCATAGAGGCATATGAAGCAGGGTTTATGTTGCTGGTTTTGGTGAGTGCATATAAGGTTCTTTTTAGTGTTGGTGAGTGTATGAACCCTACTTCATATGCCCATACCTGACATCCGGCCTTAAAACGGTACTTAACCTCCTCAAACGAGATACCCACTCGAAGCTCGAAGCGGTTCAAGCGTCCAGGCCAGTCCACGGTCAAGAGACTAAGCTTTGTAGGGCCTGTAGCATCCATGTTGTAGCTCAGAATTTGTTGTGGGGAGGGGCTCGTGTGGAAGCTTCTGATTGATCCCGAGGTACATCGGCCCCTTGCCAGATGAACCTCCTTTCAAGGTGGCAATGCTTTTGGGCTGTTAGTTGCGAGCCTCGTTAGTGTTTTTGGGTATGGTCCGCGCTTGTGGGGTGTTGGAGCTGCAGAAGGTTGCGGAAGGTTCAGCATACCTCCTGTAACATGGCATCATTCGGGGACTAAGCTAAGCGGAGTATTGCAGACTGCATCGCGCCCTAGTCCGAAGCATGCCTCCACCCCTCCACTGCCATGCCCGCAGGTCATTGTCAAAGGCTTGGACAAGTCTGTCAATCAGCGGGACTGCTGCGACTTTGACTGGCTGCTTCCTTCTGAACCCCTCAGCATCTTGGGATGTTCACCCTTATGCTAACAGTCGATAATAGGGGGTGCCATAATCCCTTTTCAGGACTGTTCGTATAAGGGGGAGCAGTAACATCCCGAGCAGCATCATAAACTCCAAGGCGTTGCCAAAAAGTTACGAGGCTTGGTTGGACCCTTTACAGGAAAGTAAAAAGCATCTAGGCAGAGTTTCGGCTTAGAGACACAAGTTTGGAGTAGCAGGACTTGGGCTACTTCTTCTGGGACCGAGATTGCGAGTGCAAGGAAGTGGCTGCGGTCTTACTTGGCTTTGAGCAGTTGAGACTGCTGCCGCTCTTGCAGTTGCTTGCAGCTTGCTCTTTGCGGTTACTGTTCTGGTGTGTTACGGCATAAGGCGGAGCCATGCCATAGTGCAAAGACGTGAGCACGGGAGGGGCTCGATTTGTCAGGAAGAGTGGTTGGTACTGTGTTTATCATGTTGTGGGTTCAGAGTTGCTTCATGCACTCTCCTTTTCCTTTTTCCAGCGTTCTTTGAGCTCGGTTGGGAGGGTTTTTAGTCCACGGGCCCCAAGGGACACGGTTTTCCCCCTCAACAGCTTGTCGTACAGAGATCAGTCGTTCCATGCCACCAGAGTCCTTTTTTGCATTGTTCGTGATTTTGCTCCACCTCCCTCTTCCCCGCCCTCTCCCCCTCCATCTCCCCCCTCGCCCTCTCCAGCTCCCTCGCTCCCCTCCTCTCCCCCTCCTCTCCCTCCTCCCTCTCCCCCTCCCCCTCCTCTCCCTTCCTCCCTCCCCCCCCCCTCTCCCTCCCTCCATCCTTCCCTCCTTGCCCCTTCAGGTGTACCCTTTGAAGAACGAGAGACACGCCGGAACCGTAGAATTCAACGACAAGGAGCGACCCGGAGAGTTGGCCGAGGGGTACCTATGCCGAAGGAAGACTCATGCCCTGTGCTTGTTTCATAGTACCGTACTTGAAGAACCAGGCCTCTTTGTGAGCGAATGCTCGGCGATTCGCCCCATGTTTCCTGCACTCATGTGCGTGTTCGGGTGTGCAGTTGTTTGTGGCACAGGAGTCCTTGAGGAAAGCGCTTGGACTGAACACGTGCGCCCGGCTGCCTCCAGAATCCTCCACTGGCTTTGCCAGTTTCGGTCATCACACACGGGCCCTTCTTTGTGACTAGAACTTTTCTTTTTTTGGCATTGTAGTCCGTAAAGCAGCAAAGCACACGTCCACATAGCAACTTCTTGTAGATCTCGGGCTTGGGATACTTTGCCGTGCTCCCATTTCTTGTCCTTGCTGCCGCTTTGGTGCAAGCACTGCAGAGATCCTCAGTTCAAGGGCCGCCCTGCGGCCAAGTGGCAGCCTGCCATGGCGCAGCAGCCCTTGCTCACCGGGGAGGAGGGGACCGTCGAACCTTACATGTTTCTCAACCTGAGTCGCGCTCCACAGCAGACCTAAGGCGAAATCTACCAACATCTGCTATATCAAATGTCGCTCTTGCAGTTAAGAGCAGGATGGACGAGCCAACCAGATGCAAGCGGCCAACGTTCAGCTCCTTGCCCAGCTTTGCCATCCTGGTGACTTCCTATCCTCCAAGATCCGCACTTGCCCCTTGGAGTCTTTCAAGTGTGTGTGTGTGTGTGTGTACTTCCGGAACCTTCTAAGAGTGCGTCTGAAGAATGAGCTGCTGTGAAGTTGCACGCAAGGTCTGGTGAGGGAGACCCTTCAGGCCACCGTTACCTGCCAAGCTTGTCGGCAACTCCAAGAGGCCTCCTAGGGTTTAGGGTTTAGGGTTTAGGGCTTTCTGGGTGTGGGAAGGGCAGGGGATGGGGGGTTGGGGGCTGGGCTGAGTCATAATTCCTTCGGGGACGGTTCTCTTGTGCTCAGGAAAGTGCACCGCGTAAGATGCGGGGCTCCAAGTTTTGAGTTTTTTCCACCTGATTCGAACGGCCGGCTTTTTTAAATTACGCCGCCAATGCACAGCATTTCCCACATTTTCCCCTGAGCCCTGCGCGCTTCCAGCTCAGACAAATTAGCCCCGGACCCTCAATGCTTGAAGGGAACACCTCTCTGCAACATCTTGATGCCACCATTCAGAATCCTCAAGCCACCTCAACCCCTGGGGGTGTCCTTCTGTGTTGGTTTGTGACGCCCCAGGCGCTGACAGCTGCTTGAGCTCTAAGGCCTCGAATACCTCGGCGTCCGCACCCGAAGCCCTAAAGCCCAAAACCTCAAACCCTGAACCCTAAACGTCTTATGTGTGCCTCGCCGTGTCCGCGTGTGAGCGATTAAACCCTAAACCCAAACTCTAAACCCTGAACCCTAATCTCAGACTCGGAATCCCTGCACAGTGGTCCGTCCAGCAATGCGGGTGCCAAAAAAAGCACCCTAAACCCCAGCTTGTAACATCCTGCAAAATCTGCAACGCGAGCAAGGGACAGAAGCCAAGTGCCTCCAGCGCTTGGGATACCATTGTCGCAGCGCCTCACAGCACCTCGCTCTGCTTTCTGCCGGGGTTAGGGTTTGGGGTTTCGGCTTTAGGGTTTAGGGTCGGGGTTTCAGGTAGGGGCTCCCGGCATTCAGGATGCCCCGGGTTCAAACAGGGTTTCGGGTTTACGGTTTACCTCTGAGGGCTCTTGCAGGGAAATAGTTCGGGCTCACAGTATTACAGCTTTGCCTCTAGAGTGAAAGCAGGATTTGTTGCACATTGTCTGTTGAAGGAATGGAAGCGAATCTTCAGTAGTGAGAGATGCTGAGGTTTCCACGAACCCGAAAGCTGCTACGGCCTGGGGGTCATTGTGCACGCGCTGGCAAACACCCAGAACTTTCTGAAGCTCGGCCGCTCATGCTAGCAGGCTCCAGGTCTGAGAGGCTGTTGTGCATCATTTTGGGTTTTTGCACTCGAAGCAACCAGGATGGGCTATTTGGCCTTTTCAGCCCCAGAATGAACCCGATCAAGGGCCTTTTTAAGGGACCATAGGGTATACTCGCCCATCCCGGAAGCCAGCAAGGAAGGAGGACTGGTATCACAAAGCGGTGGAGCACCTTTGGGCCGTGCTTCACAAGTTACTCAGGGGTACTTGGAAATATTGTTCTAATTTTTGGGTACTATAATTCCTAAGAAACAGCAAAAATATTTTTGGGTACTATAATTCCTAAGAAACAGCAAAAAAACCCTAAGAAACAGCAACAACATAATTAAGAAACAGCAAAAACACCCTAAGAAACAGCAAAAACACATGATTTTTGCTTGGGTTCCAAGTTCGGTATAGGTTGGGCGAGGTGCCTCCCGAAGCAAAGGCCGGGCCGCAGGAGGCGCTGCGCCCTGGTCGCACGGGGTTTAGGGTTTAGGGTTTAGGGTTTAGGGTTTAGGGTTTAGGGACACCAGAAGCCCCCAACTGGGGGTTTTCGAAAATGAGGGGGGGCCCCCTTATTTAGATGCCCAATCAGTAGGATTCTCTTAGAATAGGGACCCTAAAAAGGTATCCCTAATTTCGAAAAGCCTCAACTCATCTGGAAGTTGGACGCTCTGAATCTTGCAATCGACAAAATTTGACAACATGAATGCCTCAGGTATCGCATGACGGAGCTGATCGCTTGCGTGGCCCTTGCTGTAGGGCACCGCACCTTCTACCGGACCCTTGGCAAGGAGCGCGCTGCCACAACCCGTCATGGAGAAAGGTGCTGATGGCAACTTTCGTGCCTTTAAACAAGTTCGGCTGGTTTGACCCGAGCCTCAAACTTCGACATTTTCAGTGATCAGACAACTTGTTCTGCGCGGGCCCATAAGAACTTGCGTATGCAGTCTGCCGTGCTTCCGAACCGGAATCCGGCCACGAACCTTTTCTACCAGGAGGTGCAAAACTCGTCGTGCGTGGCTGCATGTCACCACAAGCCGAAATATCTGGCTTAGATTTGCTGTGTTTGTCTTTTGTTTGCACTTTGTCACAATCCCAGCATCCGGACGACCTGAAGCCCAGAAGGCTTAAGCCACTCCTGCATGTCGAGCCAACAGGCTTCTCGAAGCCTACCTGTGCCTATGCAAATAATTCGTCTTGTCGCCTAGATCGGCCTTGTCATTCAACATAAACCGCCAGAGGGAGAAGAAGAAGAAGAAGAAGAAGAAGAAGAAGAAGAAGAAGAAGAAGAAGAAGAAGAAGAAGAAGAAGAAGAAGAAGAAGAAGAAGAAGAAGAAGAAGAAGAAGAAGAAGAAGAAGAAGAAGAAGAAGAAGAAGAAGACGAAGACGACGAAATCAGAGCCGGCTGCAGGGCGTCTAGCGTTTAGGATGAATCAAGGCTTCGGGCTGAGCATCAGCAAAGGCAGGGTCTGGTGCGATGTTGTGTCGAAAGTCACATCCTGTAGGCCATCTGACAAAAGCCTAAGCCCAAGCCTGCTGGCGCATGCCTTTCCAGGAGCCAATTCTCGATCAGCCTCCGCTGCCTTCACCGCGGGACTATGCGAATGGCGGCGCTCCGATGTTTAAGAGCGCGCAGGAGGTCTCCACCCAACTTCGTAGGAAGGACCGGATGGTGGGGGGCGTGAACCTTTGCATCTGACGGCGCGCGAACTTGTTTGTGTGTGTGTGTGTGTGTGTGTGTGTGTGTGTGTGTGTGTGTGTGTGTGTGTGTGTGTGTGTGTGTGTGGGGGTGTGTGTGTGTGTGTGTGTGTGTGTGTGTGTGTGTGTGTGTGTGTGTGTGTGTGTGTGTGTGTGTGTGTGTGTGTGTGTGTGTGTGTGTGTGTGTGTGTGTGTGTTGCTGGTACCGTGTCGTTTTCACATCTTACGCCTTCTTCCCTCAAGTGAAAAGCACCATCTTCCGGAGATGTCCAGGAGGGCTGCGGCTGGGGCCCGTGCCTCGACAAAGCCTCTCTCACCTCCGGGCTGAAGCTGGCAAATGGAGTTCCTAAGTTGCAGGATGTCGGATTCTATATCCCCCTTGGGAATTATTTTTATTTTTGTTTATATAACACCCAAGAGGATATTAGAATTATTCGAAATGTTATTTTTATTAAGGTTCTAAGGGGAGTATAGGATTGAGGGCATAGGCACAGGTCGACATGCTTTGGCATGCCCTTTAAATGTAAAAGCATCTCTAAAACACATCTCTAAAAGACAGGTGCGGCCGTGTGGCACGTTTTTTTTTTTTTTTTTGTTTTAATTTTTATTTTTTAAACTATTCATTCCTGCACTTCCGCTTATCTACATGCATGGTCGGTCGGCCTTACTCGTACGTGCTTCTCCAAGTTGTAGCAGTTGTCGGAACACACAAATACAAGATGTAATGAGTATGGCGTTCAGGTAGGAGCCACAGGTACCAGCTCCTTGAGCCCACACAATGCTCAGCGTCAACACCTGCCATTCCAGCAGTGTAGCACCACCAGTAGCGCCGAGAAGTATGTGGGGGTGGTCTTAGAACGAAATGTTCGCGCAGTGGTGCGGTTTGTCTGACGTGCTTCATGATCTAGGTTTTGGGCACCTACTTTCCTGAATCCTGATGCCGAATCCTGAGATCCTTCGAGACTGAAGGAACTACTGGCAGATTGCTTCACGTGGCAGCTTATGCCACAAGCGCCCACGAGCAAATGGACACCAGCTCTGTCGACAGGCCAGAAGTTGGGAGTTGGACGCTGAAAACCTGAACCTTCATGAGCCTCAGCCATTGGGATGTTCCATGATGTTCCCTGTTTTACGAACAGTCCTTAGTAGGGATTAAACTAGTTAAAGGGGGAGCATCCCAAATCAACCACTTCAACCCAAGCCCCGAGCAGGTGTGGCTTTCTTTGATTGGGGAAGTTCGCATTACGTGCCCCTCAACCGTGGTTCGTCCCTCAGACAGAGGCATGAGGCTCGCGGTGCAGGCATCTAGGGAAGTTTCGATTGGGCAGATTTGACAGCGGTCTGCTTTGCCTGGCAAAAGACGAGATTTGCTTCTAGCATCAGACTTCTTTACCTACTACCGGTGCACTCCCAAGTCAGTTTTGAAGTCAATTTGCCTGTCTTCCTGTAGGATTCCCATCGTTGGCCTTTCGCAATGAAGCTTCGGGATTGCGAAATAAACCTGAACCAATGCGATCCTTTGCTTGGCTTCTTTTTGCAACGGCCCCCCCCCCCCCCCCCCCACAATAGGCCTGATTCCTGGAATCGAAGGCGCCAAAATTTGGAAGAGTCTTGACCCTCACCTGCTTCGATCCTGGTTCCTTTTGAGCACTAAGGTTGGCACCTTTGGCCTTTTGGTCTATGGATTTTGTTTTAGTCATCTGGCTCCTGGTCCTCAAATTTCCTGGGTTATGCGTGTCCTCTTGGCCTCTTGGTCTGAAAGTCCACTGCTCCGGTTCTCCGGTGTCTCGACCCACCACCAAAGCAGGTGGTCATGTGCCATGTGCGAACCAAAGAAGCTCTGGGGGTAGCCAGCCACAAGGGGGGTTGAGGCCGAGGTTTGGCAAGGAATTGTTTTCGGATACCAAGGCAAGATGATCCTGAACTACATGTGGAAGAAGGCTCCGCAACACAGTAGGATTAGACCTTGAAAGCCTAGACCCTGAAACTGAAAGATCCAGGACATGATGTGGAAATCAGGTTCGGAGGTGCCCAGAGGAGGTCCCAAGTCCCCCAAAAGTTTCCCAGGATAATTGAGGGGTCCTCCAAGTGAAATCTGCTCTTCAGGCTCCTGGCCGCACCCTCTGCCGAGCCGACTTGGAGCATGTGGCTTCTGAGCTGCACCGGCAGTTCAGAGTTCGGGATGTTCGGGGAGGTGGGATGCAAAAGGGTGCGTGCCATCTTGAACCATCGAAGGCTTCGTGCACGTGACGAGCACAACCATCGCAGGGAACCAGACGACGAAATAGTACTATGTTAATTGGCGATTAGGCAGAAGACTACGCCGAAACACTTGCACGAGATCCCAGACCAAGACATGAAACAGCACCGTGTAGCGAACCTCTCCCGACATATGAGGGAAAGACCAAAGGGAGAACGACCCCGGGACCCGGCAATATTGAAAACCTCGAATCAAAGTTACTTGTAATTAACAAGATAAGAAGTCATTCCTGTACTGGCTGCCTGTGACACGGCACGTCACCGAGCAACTTCTCACTCCTCTAGCATCCTAAGGTTACAAGAAAACCGGCTCAATTTGTGATCTGCATGCCGGACCGAGTCTGGTTCAAGGTCAAACTTGGTCTTAACCCCGCGCGCATTTCGCGCCACACACACACACACACATCTCTCCCTCTCTCTCTCTCTCTCCCTCTCTGTCCATCTCTCTTGCTTGCTCGCTCACGCTGAGACGCCCTTCAAAAAAAGAACCCTCAAGCCGACCCTGACCCGGACCTGCTTCCTTGTTCCAACAAGCATGTGCAAGTGTCTGCGAGTGGCACACACGGACCACATGTGTCACGGCATGGGACAGTCGTTTTTTTGCCTCCTCTAACGGTGGTCCGTGCCGGCGCCCAGAGTCCCAGGGCTGAATTCCACGGACTTCAAAAGCGATGACATGATAGAAGAGTGGCAGCCGAACCAGCACAGCGAAGACCATTGCGGCCATGCTTTTGTCATTTGGGTGGTTGTCAAAATTATGATCCCTTTTGGGGCGCAATATAATAGGGATCCAAAAAGGGACCAGAATTTTGACAACCACCCACTTGTCTTGCCAAGGCAAAAGGATACACCGGGGCCGTCGCCTGCTCCTACTGACAGCGGGAAGGGGGGCGGCTTGAGACAGTAGCAAGACGTACGGGTGATAAGGAGGGGTTACTTGGGTTACCGTTTTGGGATAGACTCTTCCTGCAGGGAGGACGAGGGAGCCCAAGAAGTCAGGCCAAGTGGGGGTTCAGATTGCTAACCAGGGGACTGGCTGAAGCTCTACCAGCAGTTTACGGAGATGTTGTAATCGAACCTGTTGGGATCCTGATGGCTCATTCGGAAATGTTGCTGAGTAGTCTGGGAATGGGGTTGGGGGGGGGGTGGTTTTTCTGCCATTGATGCGGCAAGCTTCCGCCCCGGGAGCCTCTCAAGCTGTGGGTGGAAATCGCCAACACTATATCCCCCTTGCGAATTATTTTACCCTAAACCCTGAACCCTAAATCCTAAACCCTAAACCCTGGGAGTATAGAACAGGAACACGATCAATTGCCTTGACCTCTGGACACCTGCTGTTGGCATTTGTTGGCGGCTCTGGCTCAGATCCTCTTCGTAACTTAGTACCCTAAACCATAAACCCTAAAGCCTCCGTCCTGGCAAAGGAAAGCTTGGCGATTAAGAGTTTAGTGAAGCTCGACCGTGCGAGGACACAACTCGCATGGAGCGCTGGCCAGCTTTCTGATTGCCTTTGACGCTGAAACAAGCCCTTTCCCTGAAGAGATCCTCGAGCCTAGGTCCTTGTTGATTACAGTTATTTCCAGTTATTTACAGTTAGTAAGCTGGGTCTACTTCTGAGAGATCTTGCACGCAGCCTCGTCACGATATGTTGCTATGAGTTTGCCGCCCTGACCCAGGAGCTGGGGAAAGCCGTCGGCGCCACGGCTTCATACTAAGTGTCCACGATCCGCGGAATCTTCGTGCAGAAGGTGTCAAGGATGCCCTCGGAAGGATGGGCAACAGTTCATCATGTGATCATTGTCGTCGTTGTCGGTGTCCTCGTAGACATGACCATCTTATGCGAATTTTGAATACAGACAGCAGAAAGCCTTGTGCGACATCCCGGCCGGCAACTTCAAGAGGGCAGTCTTCCCAGCGCGTATACGGCCGAAAATGCGGTACACGCCAATTGAATGTGTAGGCGCAACCCGCATGTGAAACTTCGGCGTGCAAAGTCTTGTGCGAATCTGGAACACGTCCTTACAAACGCAGGACATGGTCGAGCTTTCAGGAGCTTGTCCGAAGCCTCGTCGGCAAGCATGGCCGCAGACAAGAACGAGCCACTTGCAGTAAGCGTAGCAGACAAGAACGAGCCACGTGCAGATGGCGGGGGCAACGGCCACCGAAGCTATTATGGGAAACGTAGGCAAGTGCTTGCCGCGAACCGTGGGATCGCTCGCAGTCTCCGTCCTCAAGCGGTAGCCACACATTTACGACATTTACGCAGAGTTGCATCACTTTGTAGTGGGACAATAAGGCCACGTGACTGCATGACTGTGGGGAGGCTGTGAGAGCGTGCACCACTGCTTCGCATCTAGCTACAGCACTTGTCAGCAGCGCCATCAACGTTGCTTTTGTGACGCTCGGAGAATCATCAGCATCGTGCTGCTGGCAGCGACATTTCTTTGCATGACATGCCTCTACTGAATCCCACCCAGTTCGCGACAAGAAGTACTGTCTCAAACACATGGGGGTTTACAATATTGGGGTGCCTTTTTGGGGTCCTTACGAGAAGGGGATCCCACTATCTGGGGGTCCATTTTGAGGCTCCTTTCTTTCCGTAAACCCTTATATGAAACAGGAGGCCTCGACAAGGTCGAGCAGACGCCAAGGGCTCGAAGCTCGTTCGCGAGGATGGCCGCCCCGACGCGCCGTTCACACATGCAAACCCTAAACCCTAAACCCTAAACCCTAAACCCTAAACCCTAAACCACTTTCGAGTTCTGAAAATCCACAAAGACGATGACGGTTTTGCAGGATGGCAACTGCGATCCGCCATGTGAGTATGAATGTCGCCATTCTCGAAGCCACATAGCACCGAGAGAGAATTCTCCGGGGGACAGGCTTGTGATTCAACAGGCAGCCGCCCAAGGCCGCCCCCCTCCCAATGGCCTAGCTTAAAGGATGAGTGAAAGTCTCAAACAGCAGCCTCAAGAATGAAATGGTAGTCACCAGCCATTTGTTTGCGCCGTCTGCATGTTGCAGTCCATGTAAAGAACCCCGCACTGCTTCAAACAGCATAATCATCCACAAAAGTCGTGTCTTGAATGCCGGAGCATTTCAACAGTTCAACTGGTCCTGGGTTGGACCCAGAACTGGTCCCTACGGCGCAAGCACGTTGTGCCCCCAACATCCCCCCAACCTTGCTAGCATCGGGAGCAGCAGAGCGCAAACTCCGATCCTCGCAACCTGCATGCCCTCAGCTCTGATGAGGGCATTTGTTTTGGGTCTGAGCCCTAAACCCTAAACCCTAAACCCTAAACTCTAAACCCTAAACCCTAAACCCTAAACCCGGCTCGCGGATTTGCCCCAGCTGTGCAGGAGGGGAAAAAAACCCGGCTCATGCAGCCGAGGTGCAGAGCGCTTTCCGCTCGAGAAGGATGGGGTGAATGCTACTTGCCTGAGATGTGCCTGGTGACTTTTTTTGACTTATTAGGGTTTAGGGTCAGAGTTGGGGTGTGCTAGGAGATTTCGATGAAAAAAAGGGGCCACCGACCACCCGAAAAAAATCGGAGGGCTAAAAGCGCAAGGAGGAAGAATTGTTTGCCGTCACCTCGGCAACAGTCCTGTGGGGAGCTCTTCTTGGAGATCTTCGCAGAGATGAGAAATCATCATTTGGGACATGAATGCCCTGCTGAGGGACATGTTTGTTTGGCGGTTCGGGCTTGAGAAATGTGGCCGAACGCAAAATCAGGCTTGATCCTGGCAACGCTGGCTTTCGCCAGGATCCCTCAACATAAAAATTCTCCACGAAACGCTTGTAGGTGCTCCCACCATGGGACCCTGGCCGAACAGAGCTTGCGCTTGAGGCCCTGAATATGTGGCAGTGGCAAACTCAGCTTCGACGTCTTCTCAGGGCCAAGCGCATGTCAAAGTTCCGGTTGCCATCGCGAGGGGTTTCCTGGTGTGTTCGCGCTCTCCCCTTCTATCTGCGTTTCGTTCCCCGGGCGACGACATTTGGCCGGTGTTGCATTTGGTGTGGCGTGCATTCTCAGGGTCGATGACCAAGTCACAAACGGGTACGTCAGCCGCTGCTTGGCGAGGGGCTTCTTCCGGTGGATCGGTGCTTTCCTAGAAACCGGCGTTGGGTTGCACCTGGTCGGAACACTTGAACATTGCATGGTGTAGCTGTGCAGGATATGGCACCACATACCCCCGGCGGGATATTGCAGTGTCCGAGGCTAGGAATCATGCCTGCCGGCTTGTAGGAGCAGGATCTCTATGTCCAAACTGAAGAACCAGCAAGATCAAGTAGGTAGCCCTTCCTGAACCTCACCGCCTCAAAGCTCCACGGGTTTGCTGCAATGTCGAAGATCATCGCGGCATTGGGGGAGTTAGTCCAGTTCGGCTTAAGAATCTGCATTCAAACGGCGATGTTCAGACACGCGCAGACTCGTTTGAAATGACAGAGCACTCAACCATAACACTATCATAGCGGTGATGTAGTGGTGATGCGCATCCTCTTCTTCCTCTCCTTTGATTTGGCACTGGTGCTAGCAAAGCCTGGAGTCTACCCAATGTCACAGCTCTCTGGAGTCCTCCAGTCAAGCTAGGACCCCCGCGCTGCGAACCCTCAGTTCCGAATCGCAGGATTCTCCCTAAACCCTAAACCCTAAAACCCCAAACCCTAAACCCTAAACCCTGAACCCTAAACCTTAAACCCTTTCTTAAGGAGCAGACCCGCATCGACCGTGCCGCCGCAGCACTCCGCGCGAAGGGCGGAGACGGGGCGCTCCTTGATGCTGCGGGCACCGAGGCTTAAGTTTCATCGTCATGTTCTGCGGTAGGAATTCGTGTTGAACAAAGTCTTCCCAGGCGTCTAACTTTGGTGTTGCTCTCCAAGCGAAGAAGATGAAAGCAAGAAGTCTCCATCGATGCCCGGTTGGGAGAGAGGGCCTCCAACTTGACGGTTCCAGCATCTGTTTGACAAAAGAACTGATTTGCCTGCAGGGATACGGTAGTGTCTAGCAAGCTTGGCTTGTCCATGGAGACGGTCGCACGAGGTCTTTCGCGATCTTATTTATGGCCTCCCTGATTACTCTGGACCTGTGTGCTTGGCGTTTTGGATTTTTGTCTAGGGCTTCTTTTGTCTAGGGTTTCCTATGAAATTCGAGGAAATAGGTTTTTTTTTCAAACGCCGACGGAAGGGGACTTTCCGATGAAAATGTTCAGGAAGCCGAGGTTTTCCTGACAACTTTTGTATATACAGAGGAAATGGAAGTTTAGAAAGGAAGATCGACGAAAATGATGAGGAACTACAGAGAGAGGAGATAAAGAACGCAAACAGACATGCATAAGGAAAGGAATATTTGAAGCCCTGCAAGCTCGACATGCAAGCATTGCTCTTGCAAATGGGGGGCGGGGGGGGGCTGCCTCCCCGACACCTAAACCCTAAACCCTAAACCCAAAACCCTAAACCCTAAACCCTTGCTTCAAAGCATGTTGAAGCCTTGCAGGATCAGGAGCCGGGCCGCCCGGTTAAAGCGTCACCTTGGTCGATCCCACACACACTGACACTGACTGACGCACACCACATACATCTCTTCCCTCCTGCGCCTCTTCAGCCGACAAGGATAGCGGAAGCTCGGGCCGCTTTAGGGTTTAGGTTTTGGCAGTGCAGCAGTCCTAGCCGTAAGGGTTTAGGGGAGGATGCAGCCGCTAGAACATATCTCAAAGCCGCCCGATGCTGTCGCGGGTGCAATATGCCAGTTATTGTATATACCTTGAGGGTTAACCAGCGACTCTGCATTTGCCAGAGTGCTTGATGCGAGAAAGGGAGGAATCTGACATTTCGGGAGGCAGTGAATATCAACATACACAGCCGGTGGCGACAAACAGGCACGCACGCACAGTTATGCACTGTTCTTCCAGGGTGTGGTGATTCCTGTCAGGGACTTGCCGGTCAATTTCGCAGTGCATCCTGTGCAAATCTCATGTCAGTATGCACTCGATAGGGTCATCCCCATGCCGCCCTTTGTTGCACCTAGGTATTGCCGCCTTCTTCGCGGTGCCTGCCTCAGATGTTCGTCAGAGCATGGCCGAGCTATGGAGGGGCAGGGCAGAATCAGCTGCACTCACCGTGACCTGCCTCGGCCCTGTTTGCATTCACGGGCCGCTGCCGGTAACTTGAGCATCGAATTTCTATACATACATCCATGCCATTCTTGTGGTATCTTGACGGGAGAATAACCATCAAGCGTGCCAGAGAGCCAGGGACGAAGAGACACGGGCTGGGTGTAGGTCGGGCTTCATTGGTCTGCAAAGGGAAAGGACGTCGGTTTGATGATGAGAGTCAGTTTGCCAACTGTCACAAGAAGTCAGCCAGACATGCAGGGCCACAAAACCATGAAACGAGCCAACTCTGCGCGCAAGCCGGCGTGTGGTAGAGGGAAGTGCTGGTCACAAGGCCAATGACAATCTAGCTGTCCTGATCTTTGCAAATGCTTAGCCAAGCTCAGCACACGTGTGTGTGTGTGTGTGTGTGTGTGTGTGTGTGTGTGTGTGTGTGTGTGTGTGTGTGTGTGTGTGTGTGTGTGTGGTGTGTTGTTTGTTGTGTGTGGTGTGTGTGTGCTGTGTGTGTGTGTGTGTGTGTGTGTGTGTGTGTGTGTGTGTGTGTGTGTGTGTGTGTGTGTGTGTGTGTGTGTGTGTGTGTGTGTGTGTGTGTGTGTGTGTGTGTGTGTGTGTGTGTGTGTGTGTGTGTGTGTGTGTGTGTGTGTGTGTGTGTGTGTGTGTGTGTGTGTGTGTGTGTGTGTGTCTGTGTGTCTGTCTGTGTGTGTCTGTGTGTCTGTCTGTGTGTCTGTGTGTGTCTGTGTGTGGTCTGTGTGTCTGTGTGTGTGTGTGTCTGTGTGTGCTGTGTGTGTCTCTGTGTGTCTGTGTCTGTGTCTGTGTCTGTGTCTGTGTGTGTGTGTGTGTGTGTGTGTGTGTGTGTGTGTGTGTCTGTGTGTGTGTGTTGATGCATGCCTCCATAAACTCGTAAACGCCGGCCAGCAACAAGTGGTCCTCGTCACTTCAAGACGGTTCGAGTTCCCGGATCGCCTCGCCCCTCGAAACCTCGCATCTTGCGTCGGAAGGCCATGACCATCATGGTCGACGCCACTGGACATGCGAACCCATTCATCAGCAAGGCACGTGGCAAATGCTTTGCAGAGTTTCCAAACAATTCTCTCTTTCAAGAGTGAGAGTGCCATTGCAAGGCAAAGCAGGCGAGAGGTCTCGCAACCCCGCAGCCATACAGTCATACGTATCAAAGCATCATCATAGATCTCCTATTCCTTGCACAAGTCCATGCCTCAAGACCCAATCCCAAATTGCCCAACTACCTTTTCCCTTACGATTTTGAAGGAGTTGTAATATGTAATTAACACGTAGTATGAAGTAGTATGCTCAGGGGCAGGTTTATGGCACTTGTTGGATGTCAAGTGATGCAAGGGATGATGGATGGATCTGCTGCGCAGCCTTTTGCCGACTGTGAAATAACCCTAAACCCTAAACCGAGACATGGTGGCATTTGACCAAACAAGGGGAGGCCTCTTTGATTTCTGACTGACAAAGACAGCTCTTCTGGAGAAAAAGAACTGTGTAGCTTCTACAAATGTATGAGGGAACGTTTCCGTGCACAATTCACTTGACACTTCGTTTCACTTGACACTTCGTTGGTTCTAGCAACATACTGTTTTGGTAGGGAAGCCTCGCGCTTGCTGCTTTAAAGACAAGGAGAACCTGCTTCCTCCCTTCATTCATAAGAAATGGTACCACTCTCTGCAGCCTAAAATCCCCACCTCTGCTCCTGTGAGAGCAAGAGTAAGGAAGCTCTTCTGTGCTACGGCGAAGTGCCATAGGAAATTTGCGGCCAATCAGTACATTACATGGGTTCGTATACCTTTGAACTCCCGGTGCAGCACGTGTAGGTGCTTGCAGTGTCCGCACAGTCCAGTAGACTGCGCGTCGCCATGGGGCGCTCCAACCGGGCACTGTGTCTGTACATGGTGGCGGCGTTCTTTGCGGGCATGGGGCTCGTCGGCATCGTCGAGCCCGCCATGGTGCTCTACTTCTTCGGCATGGACGCCTTGCCGCCCGACCTGCGCAACGAGGTCCGCGGCGTCTACGGCGGCTTCGGGCTGGCAATTGCGGCAGTGCTTGTGTTCACGCAGAGGGTCGAGCGCCGTCGCCCGGCATATGTGCTCGGCATTCGAACCGCGATTGCGGTGAGCCTCTCTGGGATGGCTGCTGGGCGGCTGGTGTCGTGGGCGATTGAGCCAACGACAGGGCCGTGGCCGCTTGTTTTCTTCGCCGTCGAAGTAGCCCTCGCGTCCCTGCTGACCATATCGATGCCCGAGTCGAAGTGGGCGGCTGGAGATTAGCGTCAGTGTCGTTACGAGTGCTTCAGTGGCGAGCTCTTTCTGTTCACGGCCATATCCGCTTGCCGCGGTTCTGGTATGCGACCACAGGCGAGTGTTCCATCTTGCCTAAGCCCTAAGCCCCGGGAGGTCTGACTGAGCCCTGCGCAGCCGACTCGATCGTCTCCACTGTCGTTCCCTTTATGGCTTAACCAATAGTTTTATGTTTAGGATCCTATAAGGCAACAAAAGAAAGGAATTACAATGGAGACGTTAGGCTGAGTGTGGGAGCAAAAGAGGAGCGGCCTCGGCCTGATTCTTTTGCTGGGGTTTTGGCCTTGGGATGCAGGAACACCGGCCCTCACTCCAAGCCTGTCTAGGTGATTCTAGGTGCAGTGTTTAGGGTTTAGGGTTTGGGCCACCAAACACCAAACAGAAGCTACAATCTTGGCTGACTTGTCGCATGTGGTGCTGTTGTGCTTAGATCGGTTGCACGGTGCAACCTCCCGCAGCATATGTATCACGTTCCAGGTGCGGCCGCCTATGGAGAAGCTGGCGAAGATGCGAAAGAAGGCACGTGGTAGATTTTTTTGCAGGGATGGTTTTATGTGCCGGCAAGATAAGAAACAGACAATTCTCGCCTTCTGCTCGCTGCCGCTATCGCCCCTTCCCCCTCAACACCGAAGGAGGCGAAACCTGAAAACATCCTCGAGCCACGGAGAAGCAAATGCTCGACGGAGAGAGGTAGAACCGTGTCCCAAAACAATGTGCTGTGCCTACTCAGCTCAGCCATGCCAAGCCAAACCGTCGCAACAGCCCGGAAAGCATGCACTAGGCAGCACAGGCCCAGCGAATTACGTTGGATCGCACATTGTATGGTTTGTGCGGCTACATACGAAAAGCGTGCCAGTGCTGCGCAAGTCTTTCGACCCGTGTTTGGAACATGCTTTTGTTCTTTCGCAGCTTCCGAAGGCCCAGGCCCGTATGCCAAAGGCTACTACTACTACTACTACTCCTCCTCCTACTACTACTACTACTACTACTACTACTACTACTACTACTACTACTACTACTACTACTACTACTACTACTACTACTACTACTACGACTACGACTACGACTACGACTACGACTACGACTACGACTACTACTACAGTACTACCACTTCTACTACTACTACTACTACTACTACTACTACTACTACTACTACTACTACTACTACTACTACTACTACTACTACTACTACTACTACTACTACTGTCAGGCTTCTGAGGCCCAGAGCCTCAGCGCAAGCTCTCCGCCTCATGCCATTTCATGCCATTCATGCAAGCTGCCGTGTTGTGTTTCAATCCGGCCTGAGGCCCTATGTAGAGGCTCCACAACTCCTGAATCTTCACCTTGAGCTCAGCATATAGCAACCGGACCCGGCTTTGCACCCGCCCGCTCGATTTCAGGTGGGCCCCTGCTTACTTCCACTCATCCTGGCCGCTGTGATGCTGCTGTTTGTCGGCCTCTGCAGCGGCATCTGGCTGCTGGTACGGGCGATCTAGGTCATCTCGAGCTGCTTCTTCTTGCTCCGCCTTGTCAAAGTTCGGAACAAGTGGTTCTGATTCTGAACTTTACCTGCCGAGCAGACAATTGGGAGCACGCGGAAGCGCTTGGGAACGTTCTTTTGCTTACAGGGGTAATGTTGTGCAGCAGGCTCACCGTGGAATCCTTCACATCCTTACGCGACGTGCCACCCTTGCTGGCCTCTCAAGGGGCTTCCTGGGCCAACTGTTGACCTGCCGATGGCTTTTAGTGCCATCAGAGCTCTGACAAACTTGGCAGTTTACGTACGTCACGTGCGCGGCCAAGAACATGAAGCCGTGTCAAGCCTAGCCATACTGTCGGATGCTCCATGCTACCGATTCCCATTTTGAGCCAATGTTGAGCTTGTTGTACGGTCGCCTAACTTAGCCTTGCTCGTGCAAAATTTAGAATATCACAGCGGGACAGCCTGTAGGCCTGCCCGTAAAAGCAGTTCCAAGTTGCCCAAAGAGCCGCACTACCAAAACTCTCTCTCATATATATATATACATATATATATATTTATTTATTTATTTTCTTCTTTATTTGTTTTTTTATTTAATATATATATATATATGTATATAGTTAGTTAGTATATTCCCCCAAAAAAGTGTTTGCCAGAGCCTGGCCGCGAAAGTTGTTCCCCGGAAGCCCCCGGAGCCACGAGGGGGGCGAATGTTCGGAGAGGTGACACATCAATCTCACCTTAGGTCAACTGCGAGGGTCATCTTGGGGGGGTCTTTGTGAAATCGCGTGGCCTATTGCCGTCATCTCTTCTAGTCTTAAGGGAGATAGGCTTCGTCTTGTACCTGCGAGGGCGGATTGCCTGCAGACATGGCCGGGCAAACAGCAAGTTCTCGGGACTCGTAACAGTGGCATGGTCGTACGAGTTTGAGATGTTCAGGAACAGCCATGGGCTTAGTGTCCGCAACTATTCTGGTTCTGTGAGGACAAGGTCATTCGCAGCAGTTGGCAGCAGTCTGCAAGCTGCAAGTTGACAAAAAGTTCATAGATTCCAGACGTGGCATTGGGGTTGTCCCAAGCCCAAAACATGTAGAGTCGCAACCCGACGTGACCCTAATGGGCAGCAGCTGCAATCTTCACCATGCCTCCTGCAATTCCAAGCTCCATTCGTTTTCTTTACCAGTAGCGGATTGCGGGCAGATTGATGATGATGCCGCGTGTGGTAGCCTGCGCACCTCATGTAGGAATGCCCATTTAGCAAACTGTACAGCACGGGCCCACTGTTCCACAGGTCCTTGTGTGCCCTCCCGCCCGATAGCATTCTTGGCCCGCATTGGCTCATCTATGGGGGGGCAAGGAGGGTTTCAAAGCGTTGTTATTCAGCTTGGATGTCTGAGCAGCTTTTGTGGGCCTCGCTGTTCCAGGGGGAGAGGGCTAGTGCCCTTTGAACCATGGCGCCGCCTTCGTTCAACGCATCGAAAACGGTGCTTTGCAATACTACATGTACATAGATGTACCACATGCGATGCAGCTGGGTCTGCTCTGAGCTTCAGGTAACTTACGCATAGCTTGTCGACTTCAGGTTAGAGTTCTAGAGCCTGCCACTTCGCAGGGCCGTCTTCAAGGGTCGGGAGGTCAGCATCTCCATGTTCAACGCCAAGGACGGATCCTCTCAAGCCGTGCGGTATCTGGTACATGGAGGTTTACGAAAATAAGGGGACCCCGAACACAGATCCCAAATAGTAGGATCCCCATGCAGGAAGGACCCAGTAAGGTACCCCTAGTATCGTAAACCACATGGCCGAACCTGTGCGGCCTGAGCTGGTAATGTGTGCGAGGCCATCATTGAGAGCCCAGCATGGTTTTCGTGGTCCGCAGGGTCAGTGCCGAAACCCCAGCCCAAACCAGCATAAGCCGCTTGCGCCAAGGACTTTAGCTTGCAGACTCAGCTTTCCACCTTGCCGCAAGCTACCTAACATCCAAAGCCCTACACCCACAAACATACAGAGATGCATAAGTTGCATGTAATGCCGGCAACTAGTCCCCCCGACGCCAAGCACCTTGGACGGGGCTGAGGTATACCTTCAAGCTTTTAACGGTCGCTAAAGGCGATATTCCTGTTGGACGCGGTTTTGATTATGCCCC